TCAGCTCTGCAGCGCCTGGAGGAGGGCTACACGATGTCAGCCAGAGCCTCCCTCTGGATTTCCGCTTCAATGTTCCATGACGATATTTTAATGTAAAGAATGGCATGATGGGAAGATTGAGGCGGGGGATTTTGAAACTCCTACAGAACGGTAGATTCCGCACTGAAAGGGGATGTTTTTTCACAGCTGTGGGCCTTAGTCGAGAATCACGGCACATGGTCACAGTTCCGAATTCGACTCAAGTGGAGAAACAGCCAAGGGTTTCAAGTGGAGGACCACGCACCCTAGGTGAGACCCCCCTCCCCCCGTGAGGTCAGGCCCAGGCCAAAAGGACCTGCTGGCCCCTCTTATGTAGGGCCTGCAAGCCACCGATGGCTTTTCTCTGTAGGCGCAGCAGGAGCAGATGACAACTTGGCCCGGGGTCTTCCCATCTGTGTGTCAGTGCCATCAGGTGGTCACCAGTAGAGGGTCTGTGTGGGCAAGGCAGCCCCCACTTAGACACACAAGACGAGGAGGAAGATGAGAGAGCGGTCAGCTGCAGCAGCAGGTTTGGAGCGAGAGATGGGTGGGAAATGTCTGATCAGGCAAGACTTTCTAGAACAGGGATCAACCAGCCTCACTGACTAAGAGCTTGGTTGGGAGGAAGAGGGATCCCCCCAGAAACCAGTTTTGGACCCCAAGTCACAGTGCTCAGGCATGATCTCATGCCTAAACGTCACATCCGCTTGTATCTAGACACCAGCTGTGCTCTGCAAAACATTCACTCTAATAATCTAATCCAAACCCTCATGCTCTATTCTAGCCCAATGGAAGAGACTGCTTGGTCAGTGAGAGAGAGAAAGAGCAGCAGGCTGGAAAGGGTTAACTCTGCAGTGTGCAGAGGAGGAATTCCCCAAGGTGGAGGTCCAAGGTGCCACCCTAACACAACCGCACGTGGGCGTGGGAGTGGAACCAATCAGCTGGCCCCTCTGCCCCGTCTCCAAGGTGACAGCCCACACCTTCTGATCTGCTGTCTCCATGGTGACCGTGGCTTTAGATTGTTACTGTAGCAGCTGCAGGGAGGTAACAGTCTACAGCCATGGTCGCTAGGGGCAGACACCACGGCAACAGTGGAACAGGGGCTCAACTGCCCAGCTCTTGGGCCTTCACACAGAACCGATTCATTCGGTGAAGGGGTTCTCAAAACAATAAAAGCTTGTAAAAAGAAAGGAAATCCTGTTTTGTGCTGTCTGAAACTCTTCTGTTTTGCTGTGCTCTTGTACTTTATTTTCTAAATCTTACTGACAAATGAACCGTGCTCTCTCTCCTTGTCAGAGGTAACTGCGGTAGATCTGTGGTGCAGGTTCACCATGAGGTTTGCCCAGGCTCGGGCTGTCCCTCAGTTCTCTGTGTTGTACCGCGCCCTTCCTGTGCCTGCAGTGGGCTTTGCTGAGGTATTCAGCCTCCTGCACGCTGAACCGCAGTGCTCAGGTCTCAGGGCAGCTGCAGGTGGTCTCTGCTTCAGGCCCCTGCCGTGTCATGGACAGCGGCTCCGATATGGGACTTCCCAGGAAAACCCACCACTGGCGAACAGGGCAACTGACTGATTTCCAGAGGGATCTGCTTCCTGCCCCTCCGCCTCTCTCTCCAGGGCTCCCAGATGGACCTACGCCATCCCGCTGGGTCCCACCGGCGCCGTGTCCTTGGCTCCGCCCGCCCAGCCCAGGCACGGGCTCACACGGCGCTGAACCCAGCTTCTCCCCAGCTCAGCCAGAACCACTCCATTGGCCGTCTCAAGAGGTCCAGCCCAGCGCCTGACGAGAGCTCCATCAGTGTGGAGCTTCGATCCGTTCCCAGACGTGTCATGTGGAATTTTTGTATTGTTCCACTCTTTTCCGACGTGCATGCAGAGGGCTCAGGAAGGAGACCAATTCTCTGCAAACTGTCTGCACAACCACATGTGCTGTCTGTGCCCTGCAGCACGGTGATCTAGCGTACATTGCCTTTGGCAAACTCAAGCTGAGAC